GGCCCGCTCGGGCTAGTGCTGCCCGCGCCCGCCAGCGACAGCGACCAGGAGTACGTGAGCCCAGACTGGGCCGGGGCGCCTGAGCCCCCCGGGCCGCCCGCTGAGATCCCCTACGAGGAGCTGTGGGCGCACCAGGCCCCCGAGAGCCTCTCCGAGGGCCGCGGCCGGCTGCCGCCTGGGCCCGATCTCATCTCCTTCGGGAGCGCCGGGCCACCACGTCGCGACTCTGAAGCGCCACCGCCGCCTGTGCCCCCCAAATCCGAGGCGGTAAGTGGGCACGCCCAGGGGCCCAGCACGGGGCTCTATCTGCAGGGGAGCGGCTTAGCTTTTAGGGGGCTCGAAAAGCCGCAGCCCGCAGTAGCAGAAGAGTTAGGGTAGCCAGGAAGAGAAAGGGTAGAAACATGGCAGAGATCCTGCGTGGTATGGGGGTGCTCTGGGGAAAGAGATGCTAAGAGGTCTCCAGCCTTGAGGAACTTGGGGTAAGTTTACAGAGCCCTGCGGAATGTCCAGTGAACCTGGCTTTGAACACGTGGAGTGGCATTTCCAGCACTCTCTCTCCTGCTTTAGAATCGGGGCCATGCCCACGTGTGAAAGGCCCAGAAAAGTCCTGCACTGAGGAATGCTCCTCCACGGTTGCCTAAGGTATTTGTCGGCAGGTTGTTTGCCCTGTCAGCGCCCAAGGAAACCCACTCTTGGGTACTTGACCAATGATGGCAGATTCTTCGCTTGACCTTGTCCTGTCACAGGTGTTTCTCCTTTTCCTTGAGAGGATATCAGCTTTCCAGATGGTTTTTGATTCACTTAGTTCGTGATCGGTGTCCAGGGGCCGAGGAGATAGTGTGTGTTGTGGGCAGAGCAGTGGGTTTGCAGTTGTGGCAGGCAGCGCAGGCTCATGACAGCGTGGACAGTGGGTCGCAGACACGCCTGGGATGGTGGAGTCATAGCTCTCTCCCTGCAGGTGAAGGAGGAGTGCCGCCTGCTCAACGCCCCCCCTGTGCCTCCCCGGGGTGGCAGTGGTGGGGCCAGGCTCTCTGGCAGTCCCCCAGTGCCGCCCCGCTTCCCGAAGCTACAGCCCGTCCACTCACCCAGCTCCAGCCTCTCCTACTACTCTTCCGGCCTCCAAGATGGGTGAGTCCCTCCCTGAGACCTGGACTGGCCTCAGATGCACTGGGGAGCTAAGAAGAGGAGGGCTTCCCGCCTGGGTGGGTCCCAGAGAGCCCCAGCCTGCACTAACCCTTCCTGCCTCCCCTGGCTCCCTCCCTTCAGCATGGTGGATGGTGGGGTGGGAGTCTGTCTGCTTCCCTCCTTACTGGGACTTGGCTACTGGAGAGCATGCTCCTCCTCTCTGGTCTGTAGTTAATGTAACATAGTTCATTTCCCTCCTTGTCTTTCCTGACCTGGGCTGGGGGTGGGGGAGGAAAGAATAGGGCCATCAGGGAGGGTCCCAGGCCTCTGGTCTGGCCAGCGTTTGCCTTGGGGGTACTGCTCTGTGAGTGGGAGCCTCTCTTCCCTGGCTTGGCCTTACCCCTTCTGTCTGCACTCACAGGGCGGGCTCCCGCAGTGGCAGCGGCTCCCCCTCACCTGATGCCTACTCCCTCTACTGTTACCCCTGCACCTGGGGAGACTGCAAGGCCGCAGATGCCTCTAGCCGCCCGCCGCCTGCAGGACCTCTGCCCTCCACCACCACGCAGCCCAGCCAGGCCTCCCGTGCCCTCACAGAGCCTCTGAGCTCTCGGGGGGCCTCCTTCTTGGGGGCTGACACTGCAGTCAAGACCTACCATGGCTGCCCACCCCTGTTCAAGCCCTCCCACTCCCAGAAACGCTTTGTTCCCTTTGGCGCTCTCAATCCTTTCTCTGGGTCCACATACCCCTCGGGTCCCCCAGCAGTCCCTTCGGGGCCCACATCCACTTCTGCCGCCCTGGCTACCTCCAGCCCTGCACATTCCCCGGTTCCGGCCTCGCAGGGCCAGGGCTACTCAGCTGCTCCACCCTCATCCCCATCTTCCTCTGAGTGGCAGGAACCAGCGCTGGAGCCCTTGGACCCCTTTGAGCTGGGACAGGCCAGCTCTGAGCCAGAGCTGCTTTGCTGTCAGGAGCCCAGAGCTGTAGGGGTGCCTGGACCCCGTCTTTCACCACTTGGTCCCCCTAAGGTCTTTGAGCCTGAAGGTTTGACCTTGAGGCAAGCTCCTACTCCTCTGTCACCAGTCACTCTGCAGGGGTCTGAGGCAGGAGGGGCGCGAGTCTTTCTCACCCAAGGGCCTCCTGCCAGTCCTCGGGAAGGAGCAGGCTCTGGAGGCAGGGATGGCTCCTGGCAGCCCCCCGCCGACCTGTCCGCACTTTCCCTGGAAGAAGTCTCTCGAAGTCTGCGCTTCATCGGGCTCTCAGAGGATGTGGTGAGCTTCTTTGCCCGGGAGCGGATCGATGGGAGCATCTTTGTGCAGCTCAGCGAGGACATCCTGGCCGATGACTTCCGCCTCACTAAGCTGCAGGTCAAGAAGATCATGCAGTTCATCAAAGGCTGGCGGCCCAAAATCTGAGCCCCTCAGTAACTTCTACCCTACTGGCACAGCGGCACTGCTGGCTTAGGCCCCAGAGCCAACACTCCCAGAAGAGAAGCAAGTCCTGCCTGCACAGATACTAAGCTGAGGCCTAAGACATGGGGGAATGTTCTTCTCAGGGGTGGGCCTTGCAGAGTTGGCTTGCTGTTGTGAATAGCTGGGGAAGGGCATCGCTGTGCACCTGGCTTGGTGATAGAGTGGTGGTGAAGTGTGGATCAAAAGGTAGCCTTTGGGGTGGCAGAATACCACCCCGTGTCCTGATGCAGTCCTTCAGGGACATGGTATACTTTTCAGCCCTGTAAGTTCAGGTTAGACATGAGAAGATGGCCTGTAATGTATGCACAAATTCCCTAAGTGTCCTCTCTTTCTTGCTCTGTAGGCTTTTAGCCTGCAGCTCTGCTGGGGACAGGGGTGCAGTTTCTGTGTTGGTGAAGTACCTTTCCACTTGTTCCCCCATGATTAGCTGCCTGGCCCTGAGCATTGGAATTGACCATAAGCGCGTGTGCACGTGTGTGTGCGTGCGTGCGTGTGCCTCTAGGCTCCAGATTGAGGGTGGTCAGAGGAGGCTCAGCTCTGCTGTAGACCTACATTATTAGGGAGGCAGGTGCTCTCTATTTTCTGCTCCAGCCTCACCACCCCTGGTCACCAGACCTATCCGGTGAGGTACAGACTGGGGAAGACCAGGGAGCTTGAAGTCAGCTGCTCCTTCATTTGGGAGCAAGCAGTGGTGGATCATCCACCACTCCGCCAGTCGCCTGCTGCAACCATTTGGTACTTGCTGATGGACATGGGGTGGACTTTTTGGTTTCTGTCACTGGAACAAGAGGATGGGTACAGCTAAGGGAGGGGGGTGGCTTGGGAAAACCTGCCCTTCCTCCTTGGTGCAGTTGTGCATTTGTTCACACACTTCAGTCTGAAGCATGGTGACCTGCGTGAGACACAGAATACCATCATGTCTCAGGCCCACCAGCTTCAGCCTTTTGTTGGCCTTACTTGGTCTACTTAGCTATTTATTTCACTAAAGCATGTTGGTGCCTGGGCCCGTCAGACTGTCTCAGCTCTGAGGGAAGGAGTATAGTAGAACAGACACTGATGCTGTGACATTTGGTTTTCTCCTCCAAGGACTAGGGAAATAAATGCTAGACCACTGAAGAATAGTGAGTGACCGTCCAGGTGTCAGTTGCATTCTTTTGGAGGGCCATGAGGACCACAGTGTGTATGCTCCAGGCAGGAGAGGATTCAGGAATGGTGTGTGCTCATGGCCCATGCATGTGTCCCAGAGGGCAGCCGCTCGCTAGCCCCTCCCCTCCAGTAACCCTTTACCTCCCACTAACATGACAAGTCACGCCCACCTGGAAGTCAAACCTCAAAGCCACCAGTTTGCACCCTGCATTGAAGAATGCCTGCCTTGAGGTGCTCCAGGCCCCACACAAGGTCAGGGCCTTGGTGTCTTTCTCAGTCATCTGAAAATTCCAATTCAGAGATGACTTGGTTTTAAGATCTGGCTCCTCCTGACCAGTCCCAACATCAAGCTGGGACCAGGGAAATACCTGAAGCACCTACAGGAGAGCAGAGGCCCAGGCACCAGGAACGGCTGAGGTTACCATGTGGTGTGATGGCACTTACACTAGGATTGCACATACACTTGTGACTGAACCCACTTAGGAGTCCAGCAGTTTTGCTGGACTAGGCACTGCTTCTGGCAGGACAGTGTGAGCTCTGCACGTGGGCAGAGCTGCTCCTCCCACCTCTCCACCCTCTTGTAGACATCTCCAACACTCTGGGGCAACCAAGAGGTGCAGGATTTTGGAGTTTCAGAGAAATGTTACCTCTTCTGTTTAACCTCAACATTCTCACAAGCACACTGAGAAGCTGACATGCGCAGGCATTTCATGTGGCCATGAAGAGAACTGAGTACTGGGGTATAGTGAGGGCCATCCTTAGGGAGAAGCATGTTGGCTGACTTGCCACCTGCCCAGCACATGCAGGTGCAGCTCTGACATGGGCACACAGCAGCTCCCTTTCTGGCATCCCAATCACTCTCTTTAGTTGCTGTCTAGAACTTTCCTAACACTTTCCCACCCCAAAGGCATAGTGTTTTATTCTTGAAGGAGAAGCTTAAACGAGAAGGGAGAAGCAGGCAGGCTGATAGTGTGGTTTTTATTATTATCCTGTTTGGCTGGGTGCAGAAATGCCCTTGCCATCTCTGCCACCGCTGGCCTCCTGGGGGCAAGAGGAAGCAAAGATGGTTCTAGTGGGCTTAGCTGCTGCCTTGGGCCTTGAGGTTTATAAAAGGAGCACAGGGGGTTCCGTCTTCCAATATGCAATGGACACTAATTCAGTCACGCTTCCCCAAGAGGGAGAGGTGGCCTGAGCAGAAGGCACTTAGTCAAGGAGCAAGCCCAGGCTGGAGCTGGTCTTCCTCTGTTTCTTGCAGACAGCACCGTGGGAAAAGCAGCACTGCAGCAGTTAGTGCGTGGATGGGGCACGTGTGTGGGAGGGGGGCCGTCACTGGTAGAACTTGCTAGAGCTGCTAGCATGGTCAAGGAGCAGCTGGCACGGGGTGAACTGCTTGCCGTAGACAGCTTCATACTTCCGGAGCCGGTCCACCACTTTCTGAGCACCATGCAGATCCACAAAGCGGAAGGGCCCTGCACAGAGACACAGGACATGGCTGAGGGAGACAACAACAGGAGCGCCAACATAAAGCAAGCCAACTTCACCTGCAGACCAACCTCCGAGACAAGGCGGGAAGCCCAGCCCAAAGACGGCTCCAATGTCACCCTCTGCAGGTGTGGCCAAAATCCCTTCCTGCAGGCACAAGACTGCCTCATTCACAAATCTTGTCACCACTCGGTACTGGATATCTTCATCAGAGGAGCTGCCAACAGGACAGGAAGGGGAATTTAGAGGGAGAAGAGAAGAGGCATGCAGGGCCGAGGGTGCAGAAGGGTGATGGGGAGGCCTGCAGCCAGTCTAGACCAAAGCTGTAGAGAAGATGCAGCCGGGAGGCCCCCTTAGACAAAGGGATGTTACTCCCCCTAAGGGACATGAGAGCAGACACCCACAAAAGGACCTGACACTGAGAAGATTGCCAGTGTTTCTTAACAATGGTCAAGAGCTCACAATGACAATAAAGAGCTGGGAGGTGAAGGGCTGGGAAGCGGTCCTTCTAGCCATTCTCTGGGGGTTCACAAGCAGGCCTGCACTGGGCACCACCCACTTACTGTGATGCCGGCAAGACTGAGGGCTCACACTAAGGCTTTAGACCCACACAACCCTGTACCCGCTTCTGGAAGAGGATTGGAGGAGTTTGAGCTGTTCAAATTGACTTACACTTCAGGCTTAGCAGGCAATTTCAGACTTGCGAAAATACTGTCCATGTCAGAATTCAAACTCTTGTTCTTTGAGCCCTCCTGATAGATGTAAAAGCCCTTCCCAGACTTGCGACCTAGGGGAAACAACAAGAGCAGGCATTATTCCTTGTTCTCAGCCCTGGCCGAGGACTCCTGTCTGCTGGCCGCTCCGAGGCCCTGGTCTGTGCTGTCCTGAGCTCATCACAGAGCTCGCAGAGGAGGAGGAAGCTGTATGTCTCAGGGGGAAAGTCATGCCGTGGTGGATTTAGTGTCAGGAAAGACAACACCAGGCTCTAAGAGGAGAGGTCCAGGCCTGACAGTAGTTTTGCTGTGAGAAAAAGCTAACTCTCTGCTTTCCTTTCTCACCACAAGTGCCCAGACATTATAATAAAGCCAGGATGCAGAACTGGCTCTTGAAGCTTCAGGTGCCTGTCCATCTGACATCATTTGAGCCTTGTGGTTGCAGATCCCAGAAGCCTAGAGTTCTGCCTCTGGCCATAATCTAGAGGCCTCGCTTAAGAGGAGGTTCTTGATTCAAATGTGAAAACCTTGGCTCTCGAATGCTGGGATCACAGGCATGTGCCACTCTGTCTGGCTGAAATCCTTGAACCTCCCTATGACTAGGGCTGTGGATTCAGGAACCCTTCCTTCATGGGTCTTCCCTAATACTAGCCTCAGGAAGTGGCTCAGTGCTGTAACGAATACTGAATGCTGCTTGGTCCTGTTTCCTGGAGGCTACTTACCCAGGAAGCCTTTGACCACCATCTGTTTCAGCAGTTCTACGTTTCCACCTCCAAACCGCTCCCCAAATGCTTTTCCTAAGTCTTCAGCCACGTGTTGTGCCACATCCACACCTACTTCATCTGCTAGCGTGGCAGCACCCACAGGAAAGCCGAAGCCTGTGGTCAGGGAATCCAGCTTCTTAGGGTCAACTCCTTCCTGAACAGGAAGTGAAGCAGAGGCCTCAGGGGAAGGCCATATCAGATCTCCCCCACAGAAGGGTCCTCATACCAGACTCCAGACATTGCCTGTACCAGCGTTAGCCCCAGGCTAGGCCCACGACCTGCCCAGTTTCAGGGAGGCAAAAATGGGAAGTTCAAAACTTCTCCACAAGACTTTCAGGTTTCAAGATGAACAAATTATTTCCTTCCTCTGAATCTCAACAGTGAGGAGATGCTGGGGCTGGCAGGACACTAGGACCGCCAAGGTGCAGAGCTCAGGGCATCAGGACCCCAGGGAAGAGCACCCCCTTCCTTTCCCACCAGGAATGACCTGGATGGCTGGTCACAGGAGGGCCCTGTGTCTGGTTAGGTAGAAGCAGATGCAGCACCAGTCACATAGGTGGGCTCTGTTCTAGAAGGTCCCAAGCAAGAGGGGCCGCAGAGAAGGCAGGTAAAGCATATCAGGAGGTCTGGAGGGGTGAGGGCCCACTGAGGGAGGCCTCAGCCCCCCGACTTTCACTCCTAGCAGGAGGGGCGCTCAGGGCCTTCTTGGGAGGGAGAGAACACAGCTCCTCATCCTGACACCTTCAGTGTGGAGAACAGGGTAAAGGACTCACCTGGAGGATTCGTATGACTTCAGACATCATGGGTGCGAGACACCTGGTGGTGTAGAAGCCAGGTCCATCCTGCCAAGGAAGAGAAGGTGAGCTCACTGCCCACTTTGGTTGGATGCCCCCATGCCTGAAACCTTTCCTAGATGTCACGTATCTGCAATCAGAAGAAGCCACCCAGGCTACCCGCCCTGCTGGTAGTCTCACAGTCCTGCCCCAGGTCTGGAATGGCTAGGAGAACCCTGTTCCATCCCAGACACTCCCTGCAACTACCCCGATGCAGTGGTCAACACTGTCCCCACCAGAGACAACTGCTGGACACTCCCAGAAGCCACTCTACTTACCTCAGAATAGTAAAGAAACCAGCCTCCAAGTCCAAGGAGTCTTCAGAACTTCGCAAAATCTGTTGCTGTTGTGGCTCCTTACCTTAACCACAATGATGACTTTCCCCTGCCTGAGGCCAACGGCCACGGCGGAAGCAGTCGTGTCCTTGGAAGTTTTGTCTGTTGTGATGATTTCCAGCAGCTGCATCTTGTCCACAGGAGAGAAGTAGTGCATGCCAATCACCTGGCAAGGAGAGCCCAATGCCAACAGTGACAAATGCTGACCAGGGAGCCTAGTACCTTCCTCTTTATGCCAGGAAAACAATGGCGAGAAAGCGGCTGGGATGCAGGGGCAGCTGGTACAGACTAATGATCTGGTGCCCTGATCTCCAAGTTTAGTACGTTCAGGGTGAGCTCACTGGAATCCAGCTTTTCTACTTGCTTCTAAGGGACGTCTGATCCTACCAGTAATCAGTTCCAAAGTCATGTCTAATGGGCAAAGTAGATTTATTGGAGAAGAATGAAGGTTCCACTCACAGCCATGCTGCTGATGGTTTAGGCTGAGAGATGGGAGAAGGGACTAGGTGTGGTTTGTTAATATGCTGGGCTGTCAGGCTAGCCTCATCACCAGGTGGAAATACACCAGAGACTCAGTGAACTGCAGCATCTCGTGGGCATCAGCCTCTCAGGATGGCAGGCCCGCCCTACTCACATCAGTTAAATGTGGTACTGATTTCTCAATCCGCAACTGCTCATAACCCTGTGCTATACTTAGGTCTTAAATATTTAGGGTCCGAGCTGACTAATATATAGATTCCTCACAAAGTTGTGCCAAAGCTGACTGTTCAACCTGGACAGCTAGGACTTCCTCAGTCAGAGGAATGGGAATGCCCTTAGTCTGGAGAACATAGAGACCTTTGGTCCTCCTCCTCAGGCCCCTGTGGCTTTGCTTTGATAGGAATGACCTCAGACAAACAGGTAAGAAAGCTCTGCGGGACGCCCAGAGGCTCAGGCTGCACAGTGTGGGGAGGAGGAATACTTAAAGCAACTATGTCCAGGGCAGTGGGACAGGTCAGTAATGGTCCGTGCATAGCTTCAGTGTCTTCCCTCAGAGCTGACAACTGCCTGCCACCTCTCCTGACTTTTCTCTTGTCTTCTTAAGTTGGCCATCGTTTGCCCCTTCGTTAGCTTGATTTTTGATACACAGAATTGTTAGCAATTTCAGATGCCTGTTATATTTCCTGCCAGCCTTTGGCTGGCTCTGGTGTTCTCCGGAGAGGCAACCTTTCTTTCTCCTTGAATCACTGCGCTTTCCCCTAAGCATTCTGGTTGAGTCAAGGCAACTTGGCAGGCAGCACTGCACATACTCACTGTAACCAGCCCTTTCTCGACCTGGGTGGCAAGTCTAAATGAGCCACAGGGGCTGCACCCTGAATCTCCATTCTCACACCTGGAGTTGCAGTCTTACCCATTCTAAACAGCACTAGACTCTCCTTAGCTGAAGGGATTCTGTGGTGCATCCCTCTTCGTTTTCAGGCTTACCTTTAATGTCTACTTGCAGGGTAAGGCCAGGTCTTACAGTTTGAGTTTGAAAAATAATGCCCGGTGGGGTTGCAAACCACCATATCAACACCAATTTTAGACAGATTCCACTTATTCCCTTATCTGTACATTATGACATTTCCTATGTCTGGTGCTTCACAACTCTACAGGTCCTTTCTCTACTCCATGCTCCAAGCCTTCGCCAGTGAGACTAAAACACTGCCCAGTTTACCTTCTCTGGCCTTTTGCTGACAGCAGCAATTTGATTGATCGGGAGAGCAGATGTGTTGCTGGCAAAGATACAGTGCTCAGGAACCACCTGCAGGGGAAGATCATTAAACGTGTCACCAGGGACCTAGGCCCAGCCCCCACTATGGCTCGCACAGCTGCTATCACTCATTCACTGGGGAAGTCACCCATCGGCTTCTGTGCTGGGGAATGTGTTGACCTGGTTCTCATACTAGTTAAGCCTTTCTCTCGTTCTGGCCTATCATAATGTGCCTGATCCTGAGCTGGACACTGTGGCTCAGCACTTGGTTAAATACAGTGGCTTAAAACACTTAAAGGATGCAGGTATGACAGCGTATGACACCCCTTAGCGCCACTCCTTACCTTTAATAGAACGGTGTTTAACTCATTCTATACAGTGTTACTGAAAGATAGTAGATCATAATATTAATATGCAGACTGCACAGATGTTACTATTAGTTTTACCAGTCTACATTGCAGACTGGTACAGCAGACTGTCTGTGATCCCAACTTACTCATGTTTTATTCAGATGCCTGGCTGAAATACAAATCTGGGACAGGCAGAATCAAACATCAGAGATGAAAAGCAAGATTGAAAATACATATAACACACTGAAAGGTTTGAGAGTGGAATGAGGTCAGTTATGATGGCAATAGGTAAAAGGCATGAGATTAAAGAACTACACAGGCCCTTGGTAGCCAAGACATAGCCTGGCAAGAAATAGTAACCAAAACCTCATGATTTTAGTTCATCAGAAGTGGAATGTGAGCTGAGACTGGAAGTGCAGACAGAAGAATTGGGGGTTTGACATTAGCCCAAGCTACATAGCAAGTTCTAGGTCATCTTGTAATCCTAGATACATAGGTACAGACATGGGAAGACTAGTTTGAAGTAGCCTGGGCAAAAAAGTTAAGTGACACCCTATGTCAAAAGATACACTGTAGCTGGGTGCCAGTGGCTCATACCTATAATCCTACCTATTCAGCAGGCTAAGATCCTGCTGGCTTGGGCAGGAAGGTCCGTGAGTCTGTTACTTCCAATTAACCTCCAAAAAGCTGGAAATATGAGCTAGCCTTGAGCAAAAAAAACACAGAAACTAAACAAACAAACAAACAAACCCAACAACAACAAAAAACCCCCAACAGTGCTGGGTATGTGGCTTAGTGGTAGAGTGCTTGCCTAGCATGCATGAAGCCCTGGGTTCAATTCCTCAGTACCACATTAGCAGAAAAAGCCAGAAGTGGCACTGTGGCTCAAGTGGTACAGTGCTAGCGTTAAGCAAGTGAAGCAGCTCAGAGACGGTGCTCAGGCCCTGAGTTCAAGCCCCAGGACTGTAAAACAACAACAAAAAGCTAAAGGAGGGGCTGGGAAGATGGCTGAGTGGTAGAGTGCTTGCTTTGCATGCATGAGGCCCTGGGTTTGATTCCTCAGTACCACATAAACAGAAAAAAGCCAGAAGTGGTGCTGTGGCTCAAGTGGTAGAGTGCTAGCCTTGAGCTGAAGAGCTGAGGGACAGCACCCAGGCCCAGAGTTCAGGCCCCAAGACCAGCAAAAAAAAAAAAAAAAAAAAAAGCTAAAGGACAGCACCCAAACCCAGAATTTAAGTCCTAGTATCAGCACAATGCTCGCTCCTCTAGCCCTCTCCCCTAGGGGAAAAAAACAAAAAACAAAAAAAAAAACAAGCTGCAACAAATGCTGGTGGCCTGCATCTGTAATCCTAGCTACTCAGGTGGCTAAGATCTGGAAGATTATGGTTCAAAGCCAGCATGAACAGAAAAATTCTCTAGACTCCATCTCCAAGATAACTATCAAAGAGCAGCACTGGATGCATGGCGCAAGTGGTAAAGTGCTAGCCTAAGAACAACAAAAGGCAGGCGGTGGCACATGTCTGTGATCTCAAATATTTGGGAGATGGAGGCAGGAGATCGTGGTCTGAGGCTGGCCCTGGTAAAAATAAAAGACCCTCAAGAAGACAGTGGCTCACATGTATAATACCAGCTACCTAGGAAATTTGTAGCTGGAGGCCAGCCTGAGCAAAAAGTCAGTGAGACTTTAAAGCTGATATAGTGTGATGTGTCTATAATCCCAGCTATGCAGGCAGTGTAGGTCAGATTATCACAGTCTAGGTCAGCTTGGGCAAAACAAAACAAAAAACCCTAAAGCATAAAGGGCTAGGATGTTGCTCAAGTGGTAGAACACCTGCCAAGCAAATGTGAGGCTTTGAGTTTAAACCTCAGTACCACTAGACTGATAGAGACAGTCAGACAGACAGACTGACAGACAGGCAAACAGGAAAGAAGGAAGGGAAAGAGGGAATGAGGGAGGGAAAGGAAAGTAAGTAAAGGCCGGGTGGGCTTATATTCTCAAGGTATGTTCTAATACAGATCTATCTGGACTTTATTCTTCCACATCTTCTGAATAGCTTCTTTAACTAGTTCCCACCTTAAATAATTTCAGTAATATCACCAAAGGCCTCTGAGATGCTGTATAAATAACAACATTTTGGATTTTCTCTGTATAAACCATCTTTCTAGCTATAGCTGGTACCTCTCCCCTCACTGTGTGTGATGACTCAATGATTTCTGAGCAACTTTCTTCAAGTGGTGAGATTACAGGCATGCAGTCTTCTAGGATTCACACGTAGCAGCCCTTACTTACCGCTTCTACTTCCTTCAGCACTTTGTGCTTAACACTAAGGTCTTCAAAAACAGCTTCAATCACCATGTCCGCCTTTTCAAAACCCTGGTAATCAAGCTGCCCAATCAAGTTGCTGAAGATAGAATCCCTTTCAAAGGAGGTGAGCGCTTTCTTCTTCACTTTGTCATTCAATCTGGAAGAAATACAACCCTGATCAGAGGGGAAGATAAGGAGACTATCCATGGGTCAGCAGCTGCTGTGTGTGTCACTGTTTTGGTCACCCACATTTTGAGGAAGCCGAATTACTCCTAGAGGCTCCAAAGGACTATGATCAGCTAGTTAAATGTTCAAAGACAGATTGATCCCCAAACAAACATGCTTTCTAGTATACAATGGCTTGTAAAGTTCATACAAACTGTATTCCTCATAAAGCAGTTCAATTTGTCAATAGGAGTAAAGAACTCAAGTATGAGATTGGCAAACAAAAATGCAGTTGGGTACCAGTGGCTCATGCCTGTAATTCTAGCTACTTGGGAGGCTGAGATCTGAGGACAGTGGTTTGAAGCCTATCCAGAAAAGTGTGAGAATCCATCGCCATTTAATCAATAAAAATGCTAAACTGGAAGCATGGCTCAAGTGGTAGAGTACTAGCTGAGCATACAAGCTGAGGGAGAGCCCAAGGCCCTGAGTTCCAGCTCCAGTGCCAGAATAAACACCCAGAAGAGCGGCAGCTCTGCTAGTGTTTTCCTGCTACAGGGGAAATAGCCACAGTAAATCCTAGACCACAGAGTGTTACACTAGCCTGTGTACAGCCTTCTAGAGGATGGAGACTAAGCACCACTTTTTCCCTCCAGTGCTAGGCATGGATCCCAGGGCCTTGCTTGTGGAAAGCATACTCACATGCACACAAGCACATGATCGCTACGCTACATCACCAGCCAAGCCCTGTTACTCACACTTCCCCCTGCTGCCCTCTTCGCACCAAGCAGCACGCTGCAATGACCACGTGAGTAGAATTCAAGGATTCTCCTGTCTCTAAGAGATCCTTCCCCAAGAGAGCTAAAGAGATTCTTACTACTCAGTTAGTGGAGTGCTTTTTATTGTCAAGGAAAAATGGCTCTCTGAGGTTCACTTGGACCACACTTCCAGAATAAATAACCTAAGTTTCCTTTGAATAAAGACTGAAGCTAAACCCCATTCACCAATTTCCTGAACCAAAGGAAAAGCTAAAACCACAGGAAAGTTAAAAGAAGTATCTGATATCCAATAATGGTCTTAAAAGCCTGCACTTCAATCTGTTGGTTTCTGACAACCACAAAAGCAGTTAGCGAACAAACAAGTGCAGTGCAACACATAATTAGTTGTTCTAATACTACTGAAACTACTTCTGGGAGGGGACAGGAAACATTATATCCTGTCAGCAGTGGCAAATACTAGACTGGAACCTGATGTTTCAAAGATGAAAAGGGGAGCCTAGATGGTTGTATTCTTGTAGAAGGGGTCACAGGAGGTCCCCCCATAGCAACGAGCTCTCATTCTGATGACTGAAGGAGATGCTGTTTGGGAGCCTTACATACTAGTTTCAGGGGGATGCTGCTACTTGCCTAGTGCTGGAATTAATTCTTTCTTTCTTTTTTGCTCTACTTCTAGCTTTTTTTCCTGGTTAGTTGAAAATCAGAGTTTTACATCCCAACCCCAGCTTTCTCAGCAGACAGTGCCCTGTGGCCTCAGTAATCCTTTACACTACAGCAACTACAGCAAAATCCACACATCTGAATTTCCAGTCTGATACAAAAGCATAAAATAAATGATATTTAAAATATCTACTAAGAGGGCTGGGAATGTGGCTTAGTAGTAGAGTGCTTGTCTAGCATGCATGAAGTGCTGGGTTCGATTCCTCAGTACCACATACGCAGAAAAAGCTGGAAGTGGTGCGGTGGCTCAAGCGGAATAGTGCTAGCCTTGAGCAAAAAGAATCTCAGGGACAGTGCCCAGGCCCTGAGTTCTAACCCCAGGACTGGGGGGAAAAATCTACTAAGAAAAAAATCAAAACAAACACATTTTCTAATAGAAAAAGGTTTCCCTTCTGTGCTAAAAGACTATAGACTCCAGTGTTGTAATGGTCTAGAATATCTATTACACAAAGAACTGAAACAAGGAATTAATGTTTCTGCAAATCAAAGGACACTTGGCTTAACTATGGATCAGTACGCAGCATCATATTCAGGAATAAGGAGTCTGTGATGGCAAAAACCTCCAATCAAAGCAAAATCACCAAAAACCCCAAAACACTCCCCAAAGATTTTAATTCCTGGCATAACCAGAGCAGGCTTACCCTTTGAACACCTGTTGCTGCCCACGGCCCAGCCCGGCCACTGTAGCATCTTTAAGTAGAGTCTTCATCCCCTTGTCCACAGAGACTTGAGCAATGCCAGCTCCCATCAGTCCTGCACCAAGAACAGCTAGATGCCTGAAATGAAAGGTTGGAATGATTTTGGTAAACACTCTTATTCATTTCAGTATTTGGGAGATGACACAAATTATCCCATAAACCAACTTCAAAGTACTTTAAAAAATTTTATGTTGCCACTGGGCGCCAGTGGCTCACGCCTATATTCTTAGCTACTATGGAGGCTAAGATCTGAGGATTGTGGTTCAAAGCCAGCCCGGGCAGGAAAGTCCATGACACTCTTATCTACAATAAACCACCTGAGGAGCTGGGAAGGTGGCTCAGTGGTAGAGTGCTTGCCTTGCATGCCTGAGGCCCTGGGTTAGATTCCTCAGCACCACATATGCAAAAAGAAAAAAGCCAGAAGTGGCGCGGTGGCTCAAGTGGTAGAGCGCTAGCCTTGAGCTGGAGAGCTGAGGGACAGCGCCCAGGCCCAGAGTTCAGGCCCCACGACCGGATCCAAAAACAAATAAATAAACCACCTGAAAACTGGAAGTGGCATTGTGGCTCAAATGGTAGAGCGTCGCCTTGAGCTGAAGAGCTCAGGGACAGCACCCAGTTCAAGCCCCACGACTGACATAAATAAATATTCTATTTTGAGGCTGGGAATATGGCTTAGTGGTAGACTTGCTTGCATAAAGCCCTAGGTTCGATTCCTCAGCACCACATAAACAGAAAAAGCCAGAAGTGATGCTGTGGCTCAAGTGGTAGAGTGCTAGCCTTGAGGAAAAGAAGCTTAGGGTCAGTGTCCAGGCTGAGTTCAAGCTCTAGGAGTGGAAAAAATAAAATAAAATCTACTGGGTCCAAAATGACTAGACTCCCCACAAAGGCAGAATCACACTAGCTTTCAATTGTACCTACCCCATCTAAGTCAAGCAACAAGAGTATTTTTGTTTTTTCTCCCACCTCCTTCAGTACTGGTTTGGAATCTCTACCTCACCAGACTCTCATCTGCCTCAGCTGGACTTTTATCCATTTATCTTGTTTTGGGTTGTAATCTCATCATTAACAATAGCTGTCTCTCTGAAATCCTTTATAATAATTCAGCCAGAACAGAGCTCTTCAACCCGGCCACTACTGACATTCTGGATTGGGTAATTTCTGGAGGGCTGTGCTGTACATTGTAGGGTATCAGTAACACTCCTAGCCTCTACCACTAGATGTCAGGAGGATTCCTCGCTTCCCAGATGTGAACCAAGGCTGTTACTAAAATGGTCCCAGTAGGGGGTAAAATTGTCTGGGCTGAGAAGCACTGAGCTTAGAAGGTGTGTCTAAGCACCATGAAACTTAGGATGCTGAAAAGCTGTCAGGAAGCAAAACAGAGAAAAAGGGCCTCTGACAAGATAGCCATGGAATTGGCAAGAGCAGTCTTATTGCTTAGACTCAAAGAAGCCATGACCGTAACAATTATATCCCAGTAGAGAAGGAAGGATTCTTCCAAGACAGCATCTCATGTTGGAGGGAGAAAAAGGACCATGAAATACCAGCATATGTATTAGTTTCAGGAAGGGGAGACTAAACCAGACTGCTAGGGGACATCCATATGAGAAAAGAATGCTTGTTTACAGAAGCTAGGAACCAGTGGTTCACACCTTAATTCTAGCTACTCATGAAACTGAGATCTGAGCATCATGATTCAAAGCCAGCCCAGGCAAAAAAAATCCCCGAGGCCCTATCTCCAATTAACTAGAAAAATGCTGCAAGTGGAGGTGTGGCTCAGAAGGACCTAGAGAAAATTCTGAATAAGTAGAACTTTGAAAACCAAAATAAAAGGCTCAGGTTGAGGGCAAGACTAAATTAAGAGCCAGGTGGCAGTGGCTCCTATCTATAATCCTAGTGATTCAGGAGGCTGAAATCTGAGGATCAAGACAAATTTGTGAGACTCTCCAATTAACTAGCAAACAGCTGGAGTGGAGGTGTGGCTCCAGTGGTAGAATCCCAGCCTTGATTGGAAAAAGCCAAGTCAGAGCTTAAGGCCCTGAGTTCAATTCCTAATACCAGCATTAAAGAGTAAAGATATAAATCTAGTTTCTGCTTGGCCAGTGGGTTATGCTTGTAAGGCTAGCTACTCAGGAGGCTAAAATTAGGAGGATCTTGGTTAGAGGCCAGCCTGGCGATTAGAAGGATCTTGGTTAGAGGCCAGCCTGGGCAAAGATGAGCCCCTCCCCCGCCTTAATGGGAATTGCTGGGATATAGTGATGTGTGTCTGTCTTCCCAGCTACAGCAGGAAGCATTTAATTGGAGCATTAAAAACATCTCTGAGCTTTGTACAGAGTAAAATTCATAAGGGCTTGCTAAGCAGTTTAACTTACTTAACATCCTTCTGTGGAACTCCAAACTTATTCTTCTTACACAGGACTTGGCCATTATAAAGTCCTACCAAGGCCTTTGATTCCTTCGTTAGTGCTAGCTCTCCAAAGTTCTGAAAAGGAAAATCAAGTGTCTGAGTCATCAGCTCATTCATTCTGCTCTGTGGAGAACAGACACTCCATGCCTTGGTTCTTCAAGGCCTTAAGCAGAGGCTGTGTGGACTAAGCTCCCACTGGTGGACCTCTTCTACACTACTCTCACTGGGGTACTTTCCCAGCAGTGCTCTGAAAAGGCTTTGGAAGTAACGAGCTCTCAGATTCCTTACAGCACGGCTGGGAACCTCTGTCAAGGACTCATCTCACAGCCAAATGGACCTTCACAATCATTTCCAACCACCAGCTCCAACGACAGACTGAGGAAGCTCAGAGACAGCAAGTGACTGCCTCAAAAACGGCAGGCATCTGTAGTAAGTAATTCAGCATAAAACCTGTCCTGGTCCTCTGCTAGTGGTTCAGCCCGTATTCCTGGATACACAGAAGGCTAAGATCTGAGGATCAAAGTTCAAAGCCAGCCTGGGCAGGAAAGTATGTGAGACTCTAATCTGCAATTAACCATCAAAAAGTTAGCGATGGGGCTGGGAAGGTGACTTGGTGGTAGAGTGCTTGAAGCCCTGGGTTTGATTCCTCAGTACCACGTAAACTGAAAAAGCCGGAAGTAGCACTGTGGCTCAAGTGGTAGAGTGCTAGTCTTGAGCAAAAGCTGTTCAGGGACAGTACCCAGGCCCTGAGTTCAAGCCCCAGGACTGGAAAAAAAAAAAAAAGAAAAAAAGTTAGCAATGGATCAAGCGGTAGAGATCTAGCTTTGAGTAAAAAAGCTATGGGACAGTGCCTAGGCTCTGAGTTCAAGTCCATACTGGCTTGTACACGTGCATGTGCGCACGTGCGCGCGCGCGCACACACACACACACACACACACACACACACACTCACCACCACCACCACCACCACCAAAACCAAAAGACAAGACAAAAAGAAAAAAGACAAAACCAAAAGAAAACTACCTCAAACTATCCACTTAAATCTGGATTACCACCAACTTGCTAGAAAAGTGAAAGGGGTGTGACTGTTTTGCATATCACTTTTATCTTTGTCTTTTGCTGAGTACAGACCCTTGAAAATTTTTAATTCTCCAAAAGAGGCTGGGCTTCAATATTTTATTTCTAGTCTCTGACAAGTAAAAAAATTCTCTATTAAGGTATGCATTTGATCACAACAAACTCAGCCTAAATGCAGAACAAAATCATCCATGGGACTTATTTTGAAATGATTTTGATTCTCTACTCTTCCTATTAAGAGTGAGTTCGCCCATCTGCAGACCACATCTCATCTCAGTGTCAGGAGATTAATCCTAAGAGGTGACAATCACTGGGAGAGAGAATGCTTCCTCGGTTTCATGCATATAGGTCGTTCAGCTTTAAACAGATTATTGGGTCTTTAGTATTCCTGTAACATAAGAGAAAAAACTGGGAGGAAACTTTACCTGTGATTCAGCAAGATAACCAGCATCATTCCCTTGTTCGAGTCCAGTCTTCACTGCCTAAAACATAGAAAGCTTTTGTTTAGGATGGGAATGTATTGCAATGAACAATCATATTGAATTAAATGGCTTGTATTGTTAGTCTTCAAAGAAAATAGATCACAAGTCCAGATTTGTGACAAAGAAAAAATGCCCGGCTGCTTCATACTGATAGAACTCTTCAACTCCAAGGCTATGCTGAAGCCGGAGGAAAGAGGATATCCGGTCCAGACCAGTAGGAGAGTACTGTTCTGGAGGAGGGAGGATTATGAGGTTGAGAGTACTAGACAAGACTTACATCAATAATTTTCAGAGGTGCTGGATAGAGGCCTTTGGTTTGCTTCCGTACTTTTTCTTCTACTGTTTTGTAAATCTGTTGTCTGACAAATGGAATACTCATGGCATACGACGTCAATTCTGTAAGGTAAAATATTTTTAGATACTTACCAGAAAGAGCTTAGCTCCTCTTGTTAAATTTACGTTGTGAATGCCATAAAAATGCAGTAATACTATCTGAAAGTGTTGCTCTTCAGTCTCATATATAAAACCTAAATGCTGGGGCTGGGAAGGTGGCTCAGTGGTAGAGTGCTTGCCTTGCATGCATGAGGCCCTGGGTTTAATTCCTCAGCACCACATAAGCAGAAAAAGCCGGAAGTGGTGCTGTGGCTCAAGTGGTAGAGTGCTAGCTTTGAGCTTTGAGCTGAAGGACAATGCCCAGGCCCAGACTTCAGGCCCCATGACTGACAACAAAAAACACCAAAAAAACAAAAAGCAGTAACAAAAAACTAAATGCTAACACATGCTTTAATATATTGATAGATGTTGCAGCTTGGCCTTGGGTACACATGTGTTGATTACACTATTACAATGGTTTACTTTTGCATTATTTTTAAAAAAATTTTGCAAACTAACAAGATTTCTAAAAATGACTGGCCAATGTAGGTTGAAGACTTGGTCCTAGAGTAGAGTTGGGGCATACCTTAAGGTTAACTTTACCCTTGAAAGAGTAAATAATGAATTCACCCCTTCCTTATTCTGAGTAACAAATAAATGTAAAATTACCCAGGACTGCAGTTCTGTCTTTGTTCCTTAACAATGACACTCACTTTCTATTAATCCCTTGTTTCTCTTTGTAGAGATCTTTTTATCAGCTAGTCCTTTGGCAAAAGTAACCGCAATTTCTTCTAGGTATTCAATTGTCCGGTCCTCTGGAGGTTTTATTCCTGGTCCTGTAAACAAAACAAAATAAAACAATTACAACAAATTAGAATGCAGACCAGGTTAGATAAGATCCAGAAAATGGAAGCACGTCAAAGCCAAAGGCTACAAAAGGCTACAGAACAGCTTTCCATTTCAGACTAGAGATGGTAGGTGCCATTAGTAGTGAGTGAACTATGGTGTCAGAGAGGGTAAACAACACCAAGGAAGGGTACAATAATATGCTCTTGATAGAAACAAACTCTTTTTTTTGGGGGGTCCGGTCGTGGGGCCTGACTCTGGGCCTGGGTGCTGTCCCTCAGCTCTTCAGCTCAAGGATAGCGCTCTACCACTTGAGCCACAGCGCCACTTCCGGCTTTTTTCTTTTTTTTGCTTATGTGGTGCTGAGGAATTGAATCCAGGGCCTCAGGCATGCAAGGCAAGTGCTCTACCACTGAGCCACCTTCCCAGCCCCTAGAAACAAACTCTTAAACCCTTTTAGTCTGTCTTCTACTTCTCTAGGGTATGTCTTGTATGGTCTGTATTCTTGTTGGAAAACTGGGGAAAAAAATGAGTAAGTTATATTATTTGTAAAGACCTACAAAGCTCCCATGTGAACTAAAATTCCAGAGGAGAGAGTTTATCTTAGGAGATCTGATGAGTGCTATCATTTTTCTTTTGAGGCGTATGATACTTTGAGTTATAGGCTGAAGACTTGGCTCAATGATGGGACCGGGGGAGAGTGACTTTTTGATGGTCACATCCAGCATACCAGAAGCCAAGAGAAACCAAGTAGAGAGCCAGTTCTTCCATGGAACATTTTAGAGATCTAGGGTGGTATCATTCTGCCAAAAGGCAGAATGAGATCTCAAGAGGTTTACTATGCAAAGTACATCTTTGTAAGAGGGAACCTCCAAAGAAAAGACCAGAAAACATAAACACATGGCATCAGAAAACATCCAGAATGAAAGAACAATAAAGACAAAGCCAAAACTTCATTTTTAATGTAATTTTAAATTGTGATTAAGAGATTACATACATTTCACAAATGTCACAGTATTGTGAGATAGTAATTCTTAAAGTCACAAACACATTCTAAACCTTCATGACGCAAATTGTCATTATCGTGGTCTATAAAGTTTGTGAATTCTGAGCTTTGACAATAAATACAACTTTCTTCCACATCAGGTGGTATGTCCATTTCTTTCCTTTTGCTTGGTGTTAGCTGTTCCCTCTTTCCCTCTCAGTCCCTCCCTCCCATCGCTGCCCTTGAGTTGCTTAGGTTGTTTTCATCATTGTCCAGGGCAGCTGATGGGTGTCTCTGTTGTTATGTTTTTTTTTCTAATTTTTTTTTTTTTTGCGTCCGGTCATGAGGTCTGAACTCTGGGCCTGGGCGCTGTCCCTCAGCTCTTCAGCTCAAGGCTAGCGCTCTACCACTTGAGCCACAGCGCCACTTCCGGCTTTTTGCTTATGTGGTGCTGAGGAATCGAACCAGGGCCTCAGGCATGCAAGGCAAGCACTCTACCACTGAGCCACCTTCCCAGCCCTCTGTTGTATTTTCCCGTTTCTCTCTGATTCTGTGCCCTCCTCCTAGCTTCCCTCAGATGTGTGCCATGTATGCAGTCAACAACATGGGGTCATTTAGTAATGATTCGACAGGATGAATGGAGGTCCTTTAGTTCTCAAGTCCTGTTTACTTTGTCATATCTCCTTGCATTTTAGATTTGACATCCACATATCAGGGAGACCATGTGCCGTTTATCTCTTTGCTTACTCAATATGATTTCTTCTAGTTCCATCCATTTCCCTGCGAATGCCAGTTTTTGTCCTTTTTAATGGCTACATAATATTCCATTGTATATAGGTACCACAATTTATGGATCCATTCATCTGTAGTGGGGCATCTGGGTTGTTTCCATATCTTGGCTCGTGTGAACAGTGTAGCAATGAACATGAAGGTGTGAGTGTCCTTGTATCCTGGTTCCTGTTGCTCAGGATAGATGCCTAGGAGTGGTATGGCTGGGTCATAGGGGAGGTCTATATTTAGCTTTCTGAGGTACCTCCAGGCTGCTTTCCAGAGTGGTTGTATAAGTGTACATTCCCACTAGCAGTGTAATAGGTTTCCTCTTTTTCCACATTCCCTCCAATATTTGTCGTTGGTTAACTTTAGGAAGTGGGCCATTCTGACTGGGGTAAGGTGGTATCTCAGAGTTGCTTTTATTTGCATTTCCTTTACAACCAGGAATGATGAATATTTCCTCATGTGTTTCTTTGCCATTTTTTTTTTTTTGGGTCCGGTCATGGGGGCCTGAACTCTGGGTCTGGGCGCTGTCCCTCAGCTCTTCAGCTCAAGGCTAGCACTCTACCACTTGATACACAGCACCACTTCTGGCTTTTTTTTTTCTGCTTATGTGATGTTGAGGAATCGAACCCAGGGCCTCAAGCATGCAAGGCAAGGGCTCTACTACTGAGCCACCTTCCCAACCCTTTCTTTGCCATTTTTATCTCTTCTTCTGAGAAGTCTCTCTTTAGTTCCCTTGCCTATTTAGTAATTGTTTTGTTAGGTTTGGGAGGGATTAGTTTCTTGAGTTCCCTGTATATAAAAGATATTAGACCCTGTCTGATATATTGCTGGTAAATTTTTTTCCCAATTAGTTGGCTGTCTTTCTAGTTTGGTTGCTATGTCTTTAGATGTGCATAAACTTTTTATTTTAAGGTAGTCCCATTTGTCGAGTCTCTCTCCAATTTGTTGTGACCCTGGGACTCTGTTCAGGAAGTTTCTGCTGTGCCTGTAAGTTCAAGTGTCTCTCCTATTCTGTCCTGCAGTAGCTAAAACTTCATTTTGGACATATCAAATGATCCAATGTATGTGAAAATGCAATCTCCATAAAGGGAGTGAGGGAGAAAGAAAATATTTGAAAGAATAAAAGAAGAAAAATGCCCACATATTTAAGACACTCAATTCTGGCCTGTGCCAAATATAGATAAATATGGTAGAATGACTATTGTTAAAAATCTAAGCCAGGGGTAACCGCACTGAAACTGACAGTTTACATGTGGTTTCATTGCTTGTGTACATGACACACAGTGTACCTGTACCTTGTACCTGACACACAGTATTGCTCTGGCAAGAGCATCTTTACATGACACCTATTGGAACTTTCCCTGTCTTACCTTAGGGATGGGGATATTAACTGTCCAGCCACAAAGGAACAATTTAGCATCCATTGTCTTTCCTTTCCACAAGACATCATGCTGTTTTATTATATCAATGGCATTCCACTGACTGAGTCAGGCAAGCAGGAAGTACCAACTATTCTAGGCTTACTGGTAATCATCAATGTGTCAATACATGAGAAATAAATCCCATAAATATCCAAGGCTTTCTGCTTTAGTGAAATTTCTAGGGATCTAGTGGGAACATAAGGATAATTTTTTTTAAAGGTGAAGAGTAAGGTGGTATATCTAGCCCCTCCTACTACTCAAAAAATAAGTACCATAGCTGGTGGCCACTTTGGATTTCTGAGACAATACAGCACTCATTTAGATATGCTACTCTAGTCTATTGACTGAATAACTTTAAAAAGATGTGGTAGTGTACATCAGCCATCCTAGCACTCAGAAGGCTGAAGCAGGAAGATTATGAATTTGAGGCTAGCCTGGCCTACACAGTGAGAACTTGTCTCACAAAAGGTGTGGGGGTGGGGAGGCAACGATAAATAATCTGTTGTGGGGCCAGAACAGGAGACACTATCCTGTGTTTGGATTATGTGATTCAAACCTGATGTGCTTGGAGCATGATACAATGCTTCATGGTCTCTGCAGGCCCCTATACACGGTCAGAGTACAGGCACTCACGAGTTAGGAAAAGCCCTACTATCCTCTGTGAATGATTGCTTTTCAGTTTGGAAAAGGTTTGGGGCCTGTCAGTGAGTCTCAGTGCAAATTCAAAGCCTAGCTCTGGGTCATCATGTTACCAAGTGACCCGAGCTGCCTCTCATGAAATAGATGTTTCAAATCCAAGGAGCAATCAAACTGGGATGCACAACAGCACTTCACCACCAAGTGGAAGTGGTGTATGGGAGACAGCCAGAATGATGCTAATGGCATAAGCTGCCAAAATGTCCCTTTTTCCTCCTTTCCTCAGTTGCACCTGTGCCCTCACAGGTACTTCCATACAGCCAGTTGGTAGAGAAAGAAAACTCATACTAGTTTGTAGATAGTTGTGTGATACACAGGGTCCATCTGCAAGTGGACAGCTGCCACACATCAATCCCTTTCTAGGGCATCTCTGAAGGACAATGGTGAAGGGAGAGCCTTCCTACAGCCTAAACTTCAAGCGGTGGAAAGGGAAAAGGTCAGTACTGTATGCTCATGCTGATTCATAGGCTACAGCCAAACGTTTGGCCATAATGGTCAGAAACTTAAAAGGAACCTGGGTACAAAATTGGTGACAGGGTGTTATAGGCTGAATTGTGTTCTTTAAAAAGTCATGTTGAAGTTCCAGTATCTCAGAATGTAGCTGTATATTTGAAAAGGCAATTACGTTATTAGGGTTGGACCTAATCCAATCTGACTCATATAAGAAATGTGGATGCATGGAAGAGACACCAGTGAGAAGATTGTAATTTTTGAGCCAAATTATTTTTAAAAGCCTCAGAAGAAATGAACCTACTAACACCTGATCTTAGACTTCTAGCTTCCAGAACTATGATCACAACTGGCTAGCTGGTTGTGTGTGTGTGTGTGTGTGTGTGTGTGTGTGTGTGTGTGTACTGGGGCTTGAACTCACTTTCCTTTGGATTTTTCCACTCATCACTAGTGCTCTACCACTTGGGCCACACCTCCACCCTGGGCTTTTTGCTGATTAATTGGAGATGAGTCTTGAGGATTTGTAGGCCTCAGTTGGCTTTGAATGTCAATCCTCAGATCCTGGCTTCCTGAGTAGCTAGGATTATAGGCATAAGCCACAAGTGCTAGCTTTCTTTTCTCTTTTCTTTCTCTTCTCTCCCCCACCTCTGTCTCTGTCTCTTTTGTGCTACTGGTGTATGAACTCAAGGCTCTGCCTTCCTAGGCAAGTGCTCTATCACTTAAGCCACATCTTTAAGCAGAACTATGAGAGTTTAATCCATTTGTGGACTACAAGAGCCCTTAGCCACATCATGGCATGCCACGTAGCATTGCTTCTGATGAAGAAGCTCACTTCCCTGTAAGTGAGGTGCAGTGGTAGTCCATGTTCACAACACACTAGTGTGTGGTGACATAGCTGGCTGACAATCCTGGCAGGCGCATTCCAGTGTAAGTGGTGATATTTGGAAGGCCTATGCAGTGATCCAAGACACTGGGCAAAAAGCTAGCCTCCAACATATGTGTCTATTTCTCCCACAGCCAGGATTCATGGATCTAGGAACTTACACTACTATAACCTGTAATTAGTCAACAAAAACTACAACCAAATTCATGTAGGATGGCTAGTGCCCTAGACCTTTTAGGATGGAAGGTCATCCCACCAGGCAAACAAAGAACCATGAATAGTTGAGGTTCCTCCTAAGGGTCAA